TGTTGCAATTTGCACTGACTGGTCGATGTTTACATCGCGTGTTGAGAACGCTTGCCAAGAAGGCCTCGCCTGCAGCCTGGAAAATACCATAGTGGAAGCTATGCAAGCGTCCAAATGTAAATTACCATTTTCGTCTAAAGTAACACAGTTTGACATCGAACTGGAAAAATTACGAGCTATACGAAGGCGTGCTGAACGACGATACAGACGCACAAGATCAATTTACGATCTGAGGGAAGCAAGGCGGCTCCAGAAAAAGATTCAACGACGCATTTACAAACTGGAGAGCGAACGCTGGAAAGCATTCTGCGAATCTCTAGACCCTCATAAACCGCTGTCATATATCTGGAGAACAGTTCGTGGTCTTCGCTCCTCTCCACAACAACGGCACCCTTTTAAAGCTTTGGCACTCCATCATGGAAAAACAGAACTCGAGGTGGCTGAAGAATTTTGCACGAGAGTTGCCGGGAATATTATGAACGAGAGCATCGACGCCGTGATCGTTCCTGAGACGCGATTACCAGAAATGGACATTCCGTTCACCATGGAAGAACTGGAAGGTGCGTTAGTGGCTTCTAAGCGCATGTCATCGCCAGGTCCTGATGGTATTACTTATAGTGCGTTGGGACACCTTGGACAAAAAGCTAGAAAAGAACTTTTAACATGCTTCAACAACTCCTGGCTCAGCGGCAGTGTTCCCCGAGAATGGAAAATTAGTCGATTAATACCTCTTTTGAAATCGGGAAAATCACCATTGGACTTGACAGCGCATCGCCCTATTGCCCTCGCAAGCTGCCTCGGAAAAGTGATGGAAAGAATGGTTCTATTTCGTCTCGAGTGGTACTTGGAACGATACACCAAATACCCTTCTTGCATGGCAGGCTTTCGTCGGGGCCGCTCCTCCATTGACTGTGTCCTTGATTTATCGACATTTGTTCAACAAGAAAAAAGTCGCAAGCGCATATCAGTGGCACTCTTTCTTGACGTGAAGGGTGCATATGATAATGTAGCTCACGATGCCATCCTCACTTCTCTCGCAGCAATGGGCATTGGCGGACGAATGCTTCAATGGATAAAAGATTATATAACTGGCAGGGGTTTCTTTGTACAAACATATGAGGGTACAACTGCCCAACATAACACCTACTGCGGAGTACCTCAGGGAGGTGTTTTAAGCCCCAAATTGTTCAATGTGGCCCTCATTGGTCTGGTGAAGGTTCTGCCAAAGTCTGTGTGCCTATCCATATACGCCGATGATATTTGCCTCTGGAGTGCTGCAGTTACTCGCCCTCAGGTGCGTGCACGAATACAGTGGGCAGCAACCCTCACAACAGCCTACCTTCAGAAACAAGGCCTAAATATATCAACTGTGAAGTGCGCGTTGATGGCGTTTACACGCAAACCAATGACGCCATACCCTGTTTACATCAATGGGCAGAGTGTCAAATATGCACGGACGCATCGTTTCCTTGGCATAATAATCGACAGAAGTCTTTCGTGGAGCCCACATTGTGCGTACTTGAAGAAGAGACTGCTATCTATTGTGCATATCATGAAATTCTTGTGCGGTAAAGCATGGGGAACTTCTGTGACCTCCATGCTACAGCTGTACAGGACCCTATTTCTGGGTCTATTGCGCTACAGCTTGCCGGTACTGACTAACACTTGCAAATCGAATACTCATTCATTGGAGAGTTTGCAGGGTCAGGCACTGCGTATCTGCCTAGGACTGCCCCGATGCGCTTCTACTTATGCCACAATCATGCTTGCCAAAGACCATCCGGTCAGGACATATATAGTTGTGGATTGCCTCAGAGCGCACATTCGACATGCTAGCCGTGTCCCCGACCACCACTTGGCCCTTCTACCTTCCGGAAGACCACGTGCTACGTTTTCAGACGTCATAGCCAAGCACCTAAACAGCATTCCATCAGGATATACGCCAGCTGCGAGAACGGCATGCCCTTTGTGGTGCCTCGACCAGCCGCAAGTACGTCTAGAAATTCCGGGAATCAAAAAGAAAAGCAGTCACTCCAGAGTAGCATTGAAGCAAGCAACACTGCTATTATTACATGAGTTGTACTTAGACCGAACGCAGATATACACTGATGGGTCCGTCTCATCCAGCAGCTCATCAGGTGCCTCTGTAATTCCGGCTGCAGAAATGACAATCAAGTTTAAGTTGTCGCATATGACTACATCTACGGCATCAGAGCTTGCTGCTATAAGGGCTGCTTTACAATATCTCGTTCAAGAACGTCCAGGAAAATGGGTCATATTCTGTGATTCGAAGGCAGCGCTTCAGAGTTTGCAGTCTGCCATGCGTAGGAGGAGCCATGACCAACTGGTACAAGAAATAAGACATTGCCATCATAAAGCTCTAGCACGAGGGCATGATATTATATATCAATGGCTGTCTGGACATATCGGTATTACCGGAAATCAATTAGCCGATGATGCAGCCCGCTCAGCCCATGAAAAACCCGCGTAGTCCCGATTCCTCTATCAAGGAATGATGCAGCAGGACAACTTTACCTGCTGGCTCGAGATCTCACACGCACGTGCTGGTCGTCTACCAGCTTCCAAAGGTGTCAATTTTATGAACGGGATCCTTCGCTCAAGCTAAAGCTACCATCACAACTTTCCCGCTCCGATGCGACACTGTTATGCCGCCTTTGGTTGGGTGTTGCATTCACAAAGGTGTACTCCTTTCGCATTGGTATGGCAGACACTCCTACATGCGACTACTGCGGAGATGAAGAGACCATCGAACACGTCCTGTGCAGCTGCGCTTGCTACGACACACAGCGATGCCAGCTACGGATGGTTTTGAATCGACTTGACCCCGGACCATTTTGTGTGCAGAAGATACTAGGACCTTGGGCATCTGCCTCAGTTGCGCAGAAAGCAACTAAAGCACTGCTACTTTACCTTAAGTCAACAAACCTGAGCGACCGCCTGTAAACTATGTGTGCTCCCCGAGTGTGCTCGTGATTGTGTGTACCTTCTCATCTTTCTGCAACCTCTTTTCTCCCATTTATCCCTTCCCCAGTGCAGGGTAGCTAACCGGATGTGCGTCTGGTTAACCTCCCTGCCTTTCCTTGTATCTTTATCTCTCTTCTTCCTCTGCTTCATTGAAAGCCCCTTAATACCGCTGTCACACGAACACTACGGCTAAAAACAGTTACAAGCAGGTACATGGCAAACATAACCACTGTTAAGTTATCGCAAAGCAGGGGTTTTGGGCATTTCCACGCGTTACCCGCATGTGTTCTCAGCATTAACAACGCGTCGCCAAATCGTCACAACACGGGGACGCGCGCTCATGCATTCACCTCCGACGCGTACTTTGCCCCGTGGAGAGGGGAGGGTAGACGCTCACGCGTGCGCGCGCTTATCTCGCGGTGGGGTACGCCTTGAGCTTTGACCGGAATGATTCTGTTGTAGTTACCGGGCGCACAAAGGTCACTGCAATCGATCTAGAATCTCCGCGCTTTTTGTGACACAGTGAAGTAACCAACCGAGAAACTTATTCGCGTTCATCCGTACATGTAAGTACGTTTCGAGCGTCATTTGTGCGTGAGCAACGCGTGGAACGTTTTGATCTGCTTGCCATTTTTCGCGTGGCATTCCAATTTGAAGCTATCGCACTCATTGCTTCGCCGTTGTAGCAAAGCTGTGACTTTTATTGTTTCCTTTTGTATGTTTCGTGTATGTTTCATTTGTGTGGGGGGTCGCATACGTTGTGTACCGCTTGTGTTTCCCCCCCCCCCCTCTCATGTGTGCATTACCGTGTATGTGCCGCAAAGTGAGCACCCTGTGCTCACTTTGCGAGGAAGTGCAGCACTATATACGAACACGCAGCTGTGATAGAGAGATAAGTGGGAGAGGAAAAACGAAGCGGAGGCAGTGCTCTGCCACCTCCTCCCACCTCCTCGCTCTCACGCGAGGAGAGTGCAAGAGTCGGCGCATGCGAAGTAAGAGCCTGTCCACGCGCTAGCTGCCTACCCGCCCCGCCTATGACGGGACACCTGCCGCACCCAAGCGAAGGATGAAAGAGCGCCGCCGGTTTGCTCATTTGCCTCCCCCCCCCCCACGATTAGGTGCGGCAGGTGTCCCGGCACGTGCGTTGCGACTGAGCGGGTAGCGCGTGCACAGGGCCTAAGGCTGCTCGCGACACGCACCGGATTGAACTCTGCCATACGCTGCTTCGCATCTAAAAAAGTGTCACTCTGTTCCGAAATTACGCCCTGTGTCGTCTCATCTTGTGTCTGTATCCTTTATACCCAACGCTATACCCTCTAATGTCTCAGACTGTTCAGTAGAAGAAGATTGCGCATAGGGCACGAGTAACTAAGGTTATGGTATCCTTAACGCTTCAGCAACAGCGACAACGCTGCAAGGTTCGATAATGCGTCAATAAATGCCGACGTATTTTACAGGCGTGCAGGTGTCGACGCCCGACACATTATGATTTACGTTATCATGGTACAGCGAGTGTTGCTTTTACTATGATTGTTTATTTTATTGAGAACAAGTACAATTGATAAGATCTTTCACGTTTACGTATGCTGCGTTTTGATTTTTTCACCGTCATAGCCACGGGGCAATATTCATGGATTATATAAACGATAGCTCTGCATGCTGCAACTAAATCGTGACATTTCTTTTAAATTTCGCTTTTTTCGTAAATTTTATGACATCATCACATAGTCTCGAAGGACTGTTTCTAAGCTCTGTCTTGGTGCCTTCGGGGGTGGTTTTCTTTCGGTTGGCATGCAGCTGAGAGTCATGTTGACCATTCGAGCTGAGCAGGGTATACTTACCCTTTGATTAATGGCTTACATTTACCTCCGCATCACCACCAGCACAAACAGAGCCTCGTGTTATTGTATGTGGGCCGAAATGTGGCATACTATAGAAAATGTATTTTTCTCGCAGCAACAGCTTCTATGCCTCTGATACGACTGACCGCGTTTTGTTTTCAATCCTTCCTGTAGATTTGCCGGGCCCACCGCGTCTGGTGCACGTCAAGTGCCATAGTCGTGACGTTCTTCTGGAATGGCAGCCCACCGGTGATGGCCGGGCGCCCATACTCTCCTATTCCATTCAGTATAACACCTCCTTCAGTCCGAACATTTGGGAAGACTCATTTAAGAACGTCCCTGCCTCCGATACAAAGTTTACGCTGCCCATGAGTCCATGGGTAAACTACTCCTTCCGGGTAGTGGCTCGCAACAAGGTCGGATTCTCGCTGCCCTCAGAAGTATCAGAAACGTGCACAACCCACGAGGACGTGCCGTACAATAATCCTGATCATGTTACGGGACGCGGGGAACGCCCTGACAACCTGGTCATTACATGGACACCCATGCCCCCCATAGAGCACAATGCACCAGGCTTCCATTACAAAGTACTTTGGAAGCGTGATGACAAGCCCCGTGCCACGTGGAATTCACACCTTATCGATGACTGGAGACAAAACAGGCACGTCGTGTCTAATCAGCCAACGTTCAAGCCATATCGCATCAAGGTTGAAGCGTACAACAGGCTGGGCCAGGCAAATACTCTTGCCACGGAATTCATCGGATACTCGGGCGAGGATGTTCCTCTGGCTGCCCCGAAAGAATTCCGGCTTGTGGAAATTCGTGACGGCCGCACAGCCGTGTTTTCATGGAGCCCCGTGAGTCAGGAGTCTGTGCGGGGTCACTTTCGGGGCTATAAAATCCAAACGTGGACGACCGACGAAGGAAAAGATGAACTGAAGGAAATAGAAGTGTCGGCCAACGTGAGCACGGCCATGGCAAGCCTCTTCCGTCCGTTTTCGCGCAACGTGGTCCAAGTTCTGGCGTACAACGGCATGTACAACGGACCGCCATCAGATACACTGGACTTCCTCACACCTGAGGCCGTCCCGGGCCCAGTAGCCTCGTTCGATGGCCGGCCGCTGGGTTCGAGAGCCGCGTACCTCTCTTGGAAGCCACCTTTGGAACCAAACGGCTTAATCAAGGGGTACCGCATCTACTACGAAGAAGTTCGGGGAGGCATGGTGGGACCCAAGACTGAGCGGCGGCCGCCTGTGACCGGCCCGCAGAGGTTGCACGCCAAACTGACGGGTCTCAAACCACGCACCAAATACCGCTTCACCATTCGTGCGGAGACGTATGCCGGGCAGGGAAGCCCGTACTTCTTCGAGCTCGAAACTCCGGACGAGTCCGAGAATCTTCCCGACGTAGCCGACTTCACGTGGACCTACCTGCCAGGCGACGATGGAAGAGCAGGTGTGAGGGTATGCGATATCAAGTTTTTTTTTTGTAATAGGTAGATAGATATGCACGTAAATCCCCGAATACGTGCTGTAATAATAATAATAATAATAATAATAATATAATAATAATAATGTGTGGTAGTAGACCGGTATTCGCTGTGCTAGCCTTCGTCATTCTTATGAGAAGCGTGGTATCTGCTAAACACTTGCAAGGAATTTTGTGCCAATTGTTCGAGAAGTGGCTGACGACGATAAGGAATTATGCCTGAAGTGGGCATGCGCCACAGTTATTAGGTGATGAAGTATGTTTTGTAATGTGTTAGAACATCGGACGACCCACTCGTTACGCTATTTGCATTGTGCGACGACTGGGTGGTCTTTCGCCGGTTTAAAACACTTTGTAACTCGTATTAACGCGATTACTTTCCCGATATGAAGCCTGTCTAAGCAAGTTTGCCAGCAAGTCTGAAGCGTGGTTCAGTGGTAGAATACTGGGCCAGCACGCAGTGGACCCGGGTACGAATCCCATTGTGTCCATGGTAGTAGTTTTTTTTTCTTATTTTGTGCGACAGTGGTTACGTGCGACAGTGGCAGCGCTGTGTGTGGTTCTCTTCTTTGTCTCCGTCTTTTTGTGCGCCGCTTTTCTTTTAATATGGTTACGGACACCGGCGGCGGCAGCGGACAACTACGGCGCCGCGCGTGACCCGAGTTGCGATATCACGGCAGCTTTCGCTGTAATAATAATGCCGAGTTTTACATGTCAAAGCCACAATATGATTAAGAGGCACGCCATAGTCGAGGGCTCCAGACGCTTTGACCACCCGGTGTTCCTTAACGTGCGCTGACATCTCACAGGACACGAACCTCCAGCAATTCGCCTCCATCGAAATGGGATACCCGCGGCCGGAATCGAACCTGCGACCTGTGAGTTGGCAGACAAGAATCGTACCCGCTGCGCCACCACGGTGGACACGAATATTAGAAGAGATGGTCGGAGAGTTTGAAAGAGAAATTGCCAGGGGTACCTCCGACAATAACATATGAGTGCTACTTATAGAAATCGAAAACTGTACAATAAGAACACTAGTTAGGTAAGTTTATTATACCTAACGATTACATAGACACATACATATTGTGATGTAACGGTGAAGGCAACCTTTATTAGGCCCAGAAGGCACGATGAAGCGACCACACCCAAGGCACAGATCTCAGGCAAGCCAAGTCCCCACAACAGATGAAGATGACGACCACTCATGATGATGAACATGTGTAGAGATGGTAGATGTGCTTAATGAATGCCTACACTAACTTTCCCCCCACGTGAAAGCGGTCATCCTGACCACAGTTCTTGGCCGCAGTTTAAAGTGAAGAGGAACGCCGTATGAACGGCTTCATGCGGGATACGTGGACTATTTCTGCTGCCCTGTAGCGGCGGTCCGTCGGAAGAAGAACGGGTATCACGCGATAATTCACAGGAGACGTTTGCTCCAAGACAGTGTAGGGGCCACTAAAACGTAATTGAAACTTCTCGCACAGGCCGGGTGTGCGAATGGGTGTAAGAAGGAGGACTTCGTCGCCAGGGCTGAAGGACACGGCACGATGAGAGGCATCATATTCAAGCTTGCGATCCTGTTGCTTGGCTTCAGTGTTGACGCGAGCCAGCTGGCGGCAATGAAGTAGACGAGACACGTATTCTTCACTTGAAGATGAACATGGTTTGACAGGCGCAGAGAAGAACGAAACGTCGAGGAAAGAAAAGGGGAAGCGACCGTGGACGAGGTAGAACGGCGAGTAACCGGTTGTGCGCTGTACAGAGGTATTATACGCAAAAGTAACAAATGACAAAATGGTGCCCCAGTTCCTGTGGTCGGGTTTGATATACATCGCTATCATATCTGACAGTGTACGATGAAAGCGCTCAGACAGGCCGTTCGTCTGAGGATGGTAACTGGAGCTTGTTTTGTGTGTAGTGCTGGTTGCCTTGAGCACTTCTTCGACGAGTTCTGAAAGAAATACTCTTCCATGGTCGCTCAGGATTACACGAGGAGCTCCTTGTCGAAGGATTATTGCTCGAAGGATGAAGTCCGCCACTTCCGAAGCTGATGCAGTAGGCACGGGAGCTGTTTCGGCGTAGCGGGTCAGGTGGTCGACAGCTGTAACTATCCATCGATTGCCCGTGACAGTCATAGGAAGCGGACTATACAGGTCAACGCCAACTACCTCGACTGGTTGCAGGGGACACGGGAGCGGTTGTAATTGTCCACTTTGAGTTGATGTAGGTAGCTTGCGACACTGACAAAGGGCGCATGAGGCAACGTACTCCCCGACACAGGTGGACAAGCCCGGCCAGTAGTAGTGACATCTTATGCGGTCATACGTTTTCTGGAAGTCCATGTGTCCAGCAGACATTTCGTCGTGATATGTCTTGAGGACTTGAGCCCGAAGAGAGCGAGGTAGAACGGGCACCCAGCATTGACCATCAGGGTGGTAGATATGACGGTACAGGACGTGGTTGTTGAGCTTGAATTGCGTCAGCTGTCGGCGAAGACGGGCGTTAGGGGGCCGGTAAGTCCCGTCAAGACGGTCCATAATGCGGCGACAGTGAGGGTCAGCACGTTGGTGAAATAAGGACAAACCACACTCACTTGGAGAAGTTGGGTCCACAGTAGCTAATGACGAAACATGTAGGGAAGATACGGCCGAAAGCTTCTCGAGTGCGGCAGTGGCGGGTTTGTTAAGTGGCTCCGAAGAGAGCGGGCAACGCGAAAGTGCGTCGGCGTCTTGATGTTTGTTGAGTTAGTGTAGGCATTCATTAAGCACATCTACTATCTCTACACATGTTCATCATCATGAGTGGTCGTCATCTTCATCTGCTGTGGGGACTTGGCTTTCCTGAGTTCTGTGCCTAGGGTGTGGTCGCTTCATCGTGCCTTCTGGGCCTAATAAAGGTTGCCTTCACCGTTACATCACAATATTAACAATGCTAACTACTGGAAACATGAGCACTTAATAATTTAAGAAAAAAACAGAAAGGGAAATAAATGCGGGGATTTTAGCAACTCTAGGAGGACAGGCATGCTACCCTACTCAGGGGAAACGGTGTGGGGGCGCCAACACTCCTTGTAAAGTTGCTTGCGCCTCGTGGCGCACGTGTCTCGCACATAAGCAGCATTCGGGGGTGACAACTAATGAGCGGTAGGTGGCGTTGTGCTCGCGAGCGTTTATCACCACCACCATCATCATGGTAAGCACGCTGGCGCCGGCGGTGACGCCTGGCGGTAAGCCTGCGTGGCGGCACAGGAGAGAGAAGCGGCTGTCTTTGGCGGGTGGCGGCTGGCACGAAAAGTTTTCTCTTGCGGTGGGTCTGCCGTGGACGGCACCGCAGGTCGTCTGCGGTGGGCCCACGTGGTCAGTCAAGCGTTGACCAAGCCGCCTTGTGTGTGTTCTTGTGTTTGTTATGTTTTTAGTGTTGTTTAATACTGCGTAAGGTTTTTAGCGTGTTGATCACAATTGATGCGACAATATTAATTCGGCTGGCGATATCGTCGATCTAAATGTAGTTAATTAAATGTGTGTTCTTTTGGTTTGGTCCGACCGTGTCTACTGTGTCCGTTCACTTCGAGATCCCACAAAGGGTTGGGAAGTTTTAAAGATAGAGACAGAGAGAGCATACGCACAAAGCCACGCTTCGCAGTCATCATAACACATAAAGTTTATAATCGCTTGTGCAAGTCTGTTGCCTTCAAGAAGTTGAGCACCGCCGTCGTCACCTTCGCCAATAGTGACCTCTCAGGTCGACACTCTTTAATGGTTTCTGCCTTCATTGGTCTCAGATCTATGCGAGCTAGAGTGGCTGCTAGAGATGTTCTCTGCTATTCGGAGCGAGGAAAGTCGCAGAAGATGTGTTGTAATGTTTCCTCGCTACCACAGTCGTCGCAGTTGTCGGCTGATCATAATCAAACAGTAACAGGGATAGTCGGCCTGATATAAATGACGCAACTTCATTCACCATCAATAATGGCAATTTACGATACAACAGAGTTTAATAATATCTACAATTAATCAACAATTACATAATTGAATAACCAGTCAAATATTCGATTATTCACTTGTCTCGTCCCTTCAGTATAATGCCAAGCAGTTTAAAGCATTGGGCTGACACAATGCAACCGTGAAGATGAATGCCGAGGGGTATAACCTTAAACTGTATTATTTCCTATCGTTCTGATTACGTTATTGGCTGTTATATAGTGGCGACAGTCTTTACAGCGAGCGAAGGCCTACGTGGCCATGCTGCCAACATTACAAATCTGTATTCAACGAGATCAAATAAAAGCCTGATTGTTTCCTACCATGAACTTGTAGCGAAGCAGCCTCATGTCCAGGTCTTCAGTCCCTTCTGCGGTATATGTAAACTCCCTAGTGCCAAGAGGAAAGAGGGCCTTGTCTCTTTGTTGGACACAACCAACGAAACCCAGACAGAACGAGGCCAAGCAAAACGTGGGTGACAGACACCATTTCTTGTTTTTTAACGGTATAGTTTAATGATTACGACCTGAACTGAAAGGAATTAAACGGGACGAAAAATAGCCCTTGCCATAGGTGGGATCGGAACCTGCAAACTTCGAATTACGTATATTGAAACCGGTAAGCACACGAAGACAACAACAAAAGTTATGAAACTAAGAACATGTGATATCAGAGAACCTCATCTCGCTCTTATGCGGGAAAATGAGTGTGACCAACGCAATCAGTTCCTTTTTCCTTCATATGGTACGTTCCCATAGTTCATGGGGAGATCACAGACTGTACACACACACTCGTCCAACAAGTTCTTATTAACTACGAATCACACGTACAAACAACGAACAATAAGTGGTTTTCGTTTCAACTGTAGTGAAGAACATTATCGTCAGTGATGATAGTTATTAGCATTGAACTTCGTATTATGCATATGTGATCAACGTAAATGCTCACGAATGACCGACGTCGATGGGCAAACGCCGTGGCGACGAGCCTTCAGTGAAATATATGGATGTGATATGCAGGTGACGTGGCTGCCGGCCATGACCAAACACCTTGGCAGGGACTTTTACGTCCAGTACCGACACAAGGGTGAGAATACTTGGCAGAACACCGAGGTTGAGGAGTACGAAGACACCATAGTGCTCGAGGGTCTGGACAAGAATGACTTCTACGAAGTGCGCATAGTTGTCGTCGACGGAAAGTACCAGAAGTACTCGCAGATCGAAGAGGTGTGGACAGGAACACTCGGCAAGTGTGAACATTGTTTCTGGGGGCTTTCTTTGCCCCGCTGCGGTGGCCTAGTGGCTAAGGTACTCGGCTGCTGACCCGCGAGTCACGGGATCGAATCCCGGCTGCGGTGGCTGCATTTCCGATGGAGGCGGAAAAGGTCTGTGTGCTCATATTTGGGCGCGCGTTAAAGAACACCAGGTGGTCTAAATTTCCGGAGCCCTCCACTACGGCGTCTCTCATAATCATTGTGTGGTTTGGGGACGTTAAACCCACGTATCAAACAATCAGTAACCAAAGCGTTACCTCGCTTGGAGCTTCTTACTAATTTGCCAGCACCACTAATGTCAGAATCAGACCCGACAGTGACGTGCCGCTTTAGTAATGATGTCACAAGTGACGTTTCCTGTTATGTTGCGTGAATCCCCCTTATGTGGCGGTGACTAGAAGTTTTGCTGCCGTGCTGCTTGGGATATTGAAACACGCCGCTTGACATGGCTCCTAGAGCTTTGAAACTGTTCGTTATGTAGCGCAGTCCCTTAACCACCACCATACGTATTGGCATCGAAATCGTACTTGCGAACTCTTTTAAAGCTGGTCATTAGTACAAGGTCGATGCCAGCCTAAGTAAATAACTCAGTAGTATCCAAGCTGGCAAAATTAGTTCGCTTGTTGTACTTCAAAAGGCAAATGCCGGGTGTAAGACGTCTGACGGTCGTGTCGATTAACACAGTAATTATGTACTAAACACCTGGTTATATGTGAGGTCTTGAAAATTAATTAGGCTGTCGTCTTACGTGCGGATGACTCTGTACTCATCTGACTATCCTGGCATCGTTGAGGTCGTTGGGGTGTGTCCATTTATTTGTTTTGCACTCTTTTGCACTTGTAAACGCTTTCTCGTTTTTGTTTGCGCCTCTTTACGCAGATGTGCCCAGTCCCCCGGAGATAGTGCACGTGGAATGTGAAGCTTCCTCAGCACTGCTAAAGTGGACACCCCGAGGGGACAACCAGGCGTCCATCATATCGTACTCAGTACAGTACTCAACCTCCTTCAACTCTACTCGGGGTTCCTGGCAGGACGTCGCTGCAAATATTCCCGCTTCGGACACTAGCGTCCGCATGGCGCTTAGCCCGTGGGCCAACTACACATTTAGGGTTCTGGCAAGCAACAAGGTTGGACCCTCGGCGCCCTCTGAACCATCGGCGACAACTTGCGCGACACCCGAAAACGTCCCTTTCAAGAACCCTGACTCTGTGACGGGCCGGTGGAACATCTATGGCGACCTCATTATATCTTGGATGTCCATGGCACCAATCGATCACAATGCACCGGGATTCTTCTACAGGGTGTCTTGGAAGAGGAACGACCTTCCCAACGCCACCTGGAGCTCGCATGACGTCAAAGACTGGACGCAAGAAAGACTCGTCCTACAGGGCCAGTCCAGGTCTACGCCTTATAGCGTCCGCGTCGAAGCACACAACAGCCTTGGCCAGGCGAACGTCTTGCCCAGAGAAATAGGGGTACCGACAAGTAACAAGACGAACATCGCAGGCATGATGGACGCTGTTCTTTCGTACTTTCAAAGCGTGTTCTGAATGACAACGTGACGCTGTTTATTTGCGCTGGTCGATACATGTCCTTAGACAACGAGGAACAAAGCGAACAGCAGGACAATGGGATATAAATGGGTTCTGCGATGGCTTACAGCCAATGTTTTAGCCGTGAACGACGTAAGCTGACTTAGAGTTCCACGAAGAAATAATAGCGCTTAAATGACGAGGACAAAAAAAGAATGACAGCGCCGCCGTGGTGGTCTAGTGGCTAAGGTACTCGGCTGCTGACCCGCAGGTCGCGGGATCGAATCCCGGCTGCGGCGGCTGCATTTCCGATGGAGGCGGAAATGTTAGGTCCGTTCGATTCACCTGCACCGGTCGGAACTGGTTCACGGCTGTGCACGCGAAGTTCAGAAATTGTGCAGCGTGAGTTCAGCGGTGTAGGCACAGCACGACACCCGAAACAAATGACGATGTGCCGACCAGGTGTAGGCCTTATTTCTTTTCGGTTAATTTACACCGTTCAGCAAACGCTGACCTATGGCGAAATGCAAATGCGGACAGTTTATGAGGCGTGAACATCTTGGCAAAACACACCGCATTTGTAGAGGCGGGTACGGCGCCTAAGCCACCTACGTCTAAGTGCTGCGTCGCCTGCTCAGCTGCATGTGCGCCTGCACCAAGCCGGCACCGTCAGCGAAGAAGGTGCAGGAAAATAGTGAACCGGTGCTGCACCTCTTCTGCACCTTTCGAAATGAATGGCAGGGTTCAGCGGTCGTCAATGCTGCACCGCTGAAACGAATGGCAAGGTGCAGCACCTCGTGAACTGGTTCACGTGGTGCAGGCGAATCGAACGGACCTGTTGTAGGCCCGTGTGCTCAGATTTGGGTGCACGCTAAAGAACCCCAGGTGGTCAAAATTTCCGGAGCCCTCCACTACGGCGTCTCTCATAATCATAAGGTGGTTTTGGGACGTTAAACCCCACAAATCAATCAAATCAGAGAAAGAATGACATGCAGTTCAATATACTAGCAATTTGTAGCAGCAAGCTTTATAAGGCAAAGCCATGCTAGCACATGCGCAGTTTACTTCGTCACGTCAACGTGAAAAAAGAAAGCGCAAAAGGGAAGTAAGAAGAGAGCTAAAGTCTTCACAGATGTGATACCCGCCAGGAAACGATTAAAGCGACAGGTGCACGTGACCTACAATCTAAGAAACGCGTAATTCCTTCCTGCAAAAGGACAACGATGCCGTGCTAACACACGAGTCATCCTACCTAAGAATTACGTGGCTTCCACAAGAAGTCGCAGAAAAAAAACGGGTGCGTTGGGTCCTGTCTCGCGTCAGGACGGAGAGGCCTTTTGTTTTCAAGCGGGGACCGATGCCTCGAGGCTGAACTTTCTGGATTTAGCGTGCATCGTGTGCTCCTGATACGTTTCCGGAAGACAATTTGATGTGGCGTCTCGAGGGACGTTAATTGCTTCCGTTCTCAGCCCGGTTTTGGCTGATTCCGTACCTACGAATGAGGTTCCGACCCCCTGTGACCTGAGATTTCACGACACAAGCTTTACGTTTCTCTGGGTCATATGGCAATTTTGGGACGTTAGACCCCACATATCAATCAATCAGGCTGTGAACGTCAACACGGATTGATCGGGGAGCGCTCAAAGCTAAGTTCCGCTTGCCTGTACTTCTATTTTTGTCTGTTCAAAGCATTCCTCGATGCAGAAAAAAAATTAAAAAACAATGTTAGCCAGCGTGCTAGTCATTCATCGAAATCCTTCCCTGTGGCGAAAAATGCAAAGAACTTTCACGTTCTTAGATGCAGGTGCCCGTTGAACAGCCCCGGATGGTCAAAATTATTCAGGAGCTCTCGACTAGGGCGTCTCTCCTAATAAAATCGTGGCTTTGGTGTATAAACCCTCAGTAATAATTATGACCCCTCTATTAAAAGATGATAGTTACTGCACCAGAAACGCATGTCATGCGTGTGGCTGCTTTCATTTACATAGAAAACTGTTGGACCATAGTGGCACTTGTTCTACGTGAACGTAATAAAATAATATTTGAAACGCACAACTATTTCATATCAGGCACACAAGAGCAATGGAGTTTTTCCGCGAAACATATAAATATTTGAACCACGCAAAAATTTCGTAAACAGCACACTTAAGCAATACGGTTATTCTTGGCTAGATGTGTATGAGGATTCACATATTTATGCGAATAATCACTTTCAGTTGGCACTCAGAGGCACGTGCTCCGCACAACTCCGATAGTCAGAACGGCAGTTCAGTACAAAACACGTTCTACCCATCGCAGGGATCTCTCAGCAGTTTGATGTCATCTTCATCGATGGAATAAAATTCAACACACGCGAACAAAAAAAGAAATCTGGCTTCAAAAATGGTCACACGTGCCAACAAAAATATCGGCAGCATGCGCGTTTCTGCCGAGCGTGCCGCCTAGACGGCTGACCCCGCTCGTCGTAGCGCCACCTAAGAAGACACGACTGAAGCTGCTCTGACTATCCCCCAAGTTGAAAAGGCATGGCAAGAGCAAGATAATTTCTCAATTTTGCATTGCAATCTTCGTAGCATTAGAAAGATCTTGGATAACCTACTAGTATATTTGACCCAACACAAATTCACATACGATATGATTGCCGTAACGGAAACATGGTTGAAAGAAGGCGAGACCGCTACTTTGCCTGGTTACACTGTGGCACCTATGCCTCGCCCGAGTTCATCCCGTGGCGGAGGCGTTGCGCTGTTTATTAAAAATTAAATTGATTTTGACATTCTTCCTATAAACTCTGTATCGACTCCCTCAGCCGAAACGATATTTGTTCAGATTAAGCGTGGAATCACAGTGGGCGTCGTCTATCGCCCACCTTCTTCAGCAGTCAATGAATTTATCTGCGCTATGGAATATCTGATGACATCTCTGATAACCTCTCAAGTTACAGTTGTTGCGTGTGGAGACTTCAATATGAATTCGCTGAAAGATAGATCTGATTATTTATTTTCACTCGAGTCACTTAACCTTAAAAATGTCATTTCAACTGCGACTCGTGTCACTGACCAATCTGAATCCATTATTGATCACATGTTATGTCACGCCGAATGGGACGTGAGTGCTGGGGTTTATGACGTAAGCGTTACCGATCTTAATCCAACATTTATGTTTATTCCATGTAAATACCTATCGAAGGTCGGTGCATCACGATTGCAGCGTTCGGCATATGTGGATTATGTTCGTTTGAACCGATTGCTTCAGGATGTTGACTTTGAGAACATATATGATAATCACATAGAAAAGGAATCTGCAAACTTTCTGGAGTTGATAAGCAATTTGATTAGGCGATCGACACGTGAACGTACGCGTCGTAACTACAATCACGCCATTTGTCCATGGATGACTAACGACCTCTTAGAAATGTTGAAATTAAAGGATTCATATTATAAGTGGAAAAACAATAGAAGCAACACATATTACCGCGAAAGCTTCAAGTTCTATAGGAATAAATCAGTTACAATGAAACGTAAATTGATTATACGAACAGTATTACACGGAACGGGAGCAATGCAAAGAAGGTGTGGCAAGTAGTCAGAGATGTTACAGGCATAAGCCAGACAAAACGCATTCTTCCAGATAACATCTCCTCAAAGGTTGCAGAAGATTTCAATGCATATTTCACTAGTACTGGCGCTAACCTTGCTTCACAGTTTTGCTTGTCGATATCTGCTCCTTCTTTCCCCAAATTAATTGATAATGATTTCAACCTTGCAGCTGTCACAACAGATGAAATCAAATATGTCGTGGCTAAGATGCCGGTCAATAAAGCCACTGGTGATGATAGAATACCAGTTAAGGTTATTAAAGATAACATTAACCTTCTTTGCATTCCGATATGTCATATTTTCAACCATGCATTTACCTGTCGTATATATCCATCTAGCTTAAAAACCGCCAAAGTAGTTCCTGTATACAAATCAGGGGACTCAAACAACCCTGAAAACTACAGACCGATCTCTGTTCTAAGCTGTCTTAATACACTTTTCGAGAAGATAATTGTCCTTCAATTAAGACGCTTTCTGGTTGACAACGACATCATATGCCCACAACAGCACGGATTCGTTCCCGCTAGGTCTACTGCATGAGCCATTCTAACCCTCTCGCACAATATAATCACCGCGCTCCACAACGGTGAAATCGCAATAGCAGTCTTCCTAGATATTAAAAAGGCATTCGATAAAGTTCCCCACGACATACTATTACAAAAACTTGAAAGTTATGGCTTCAGTGACAGTTCACTCCAGTTCTTCTCAAGCTACTTGTCCTCGCGCAAACAAAAAGTGGTGATTAACAATGACGAATCTGCATACAGCACAATAGTGTGTGGAGTGCCCCAGGGATCCGTATTAGGCCCGGTACTTTTTTCTCTGTACATAAATGATTTCCCCAAAACACTAGTGTACTCTAAAGCATTAATGTACGCGGACGATACCGCCATAGTATTCACCGGAAATAGTCTCTCAACACTGCAAGCCAACATAATGTCTGAAATGACACACGTAAGCAACTGGTTTATACAGAATAAATTGACACTACATTCGGGGAAAACGAAGTATGTTGTTTTTCGATGAAGGCGAAATGATATTGACACGGCGTCTATGCAACTTTACCTGAACAACATTCCTATCGAACAAGTGGTTTCTTTTAAATATTTAGGAGTGTTTTTTGACCAGCACCTTCACAGGGAAGAACAAATTCATAGTGTTTCTAGAAAGGTGGCTTACGGTTGTTATGCCTTAATCAAAGCACGCGAGTGCTTTCCCCCCAGCGTGCTTCGAACATTGTATTTTTCCTTTTGTCATTCACATATTAGCTACTGTATCGAATCGTGGGGTGTAACGTATACGACATATCTAGAGCCATTACTACGACTACAAAAGAGAGCCCTAAGCATAATAGGTGGAAACCATGGAAATTTATATAAAACTACATTTCCGAAACAACAAATCTTATCAGTTTGGGCACTTCGCGATTATAAGGTTGCCCTTTTTGTTCAGAAAATTATAGGCACTAGCTTTCCCCTCTCCTCCACTCTATTTACAATACCATCGCGAAACACTATAGACACGCATCGAATGGCAATTTTAACTTACCTACAAGCTATAACTTATATGGAAAACGCTTATTGGAATTTCATGGGACTACAATTTG